AGAAGAAGAAGAAGAAGAGGTGTACGACGACTGTGACTTTAATAGTCAAGATTGTACGTGGAAATTATTGTTATATGGAATAAATAAAATGAAGTTATTTTATATTAGCACGTGCATGGCGTATCTCATTTTGTAGGGGCAATGAAGGTTAAGCCGGAGGATGTCGGCAAGCAGGTTTGCGAGCGTGAGTTCCGCATGCAATTAGGTCATCCATTTAATCACTTGACGTAATACGCACTAATGCATTTTACGCTGTATAAACTACACTGCTATTTTGAGGTTTATCACAATACACTTCTTCCGGAAAGCATGCTATACAAAGCAAGCGGTTACTTTAAAATAACTTTTACAGTCATAGCAATATTGCGTGATATTTTTTTGGTTGCCTTATGTCAGTAAACGGCGCAACTGAAGCTACAACTGAAGGCGTATCGACTACAGGTAAACACTATATTATACAGATTAATCGATGTTTCGTCGCAGTTTGCACTAAACCCTACGCAACCAGACATTTATTTGGCTGCACTATTTGGTCTGGGGTATGATGTGCCATCTCCATTTTAGAAGAAGAAGACGACGACGACGACGAAGACGTGTACGACGACTTTGACTTTACTAGTCAAAAGTGTATGTGGACATTTTTCTTCTATACAAGAAATAAAAATGAAAATAATTCATATAAGTATGCGCATGATTTATCAAATTTTTCAGGGGCAATGAAGGTGAAGCTGGAGGATATCGGCAAACTGGTTTGCGAACGTAAGTTCCGCATCCAACTAGGTCATCCATTTAATGACCCCTTAGTTGACCTGATACATTGTAAGTTATTTTATGCTGTTTAAACTACACTGCATTTTTTACGTTCATCGCAATACACTTCTTCTGGAAAGCATGCTATAAAAAGCAAGTGGGGTCTGTAAAATAAAAACGACATTTAGGGACTAATTCAGTCTCAAATTTGAAGATCTTATTTTTTTCTCTTTGTTTTTTAATTGCTGCATCTTTTTAACATAAGTAAATAGTTTTGCAATGCTCGCAAAGTATATGTGTGGTAAAAACGTAATGGCTGCTGTGCATTAGACGCAGTGTCAGCTTTAAGACGCAAAACTTTATAAGAAAATACCTGTGTAATATATTTGCCCTTTGCAGAACTGCCAAGCATTGCGCGTTCTGTTTACACTACACCCTACGAGTGCAGTTCATGATTTAGTTTTTATCGCAAGGGAACACTATTACTATACCTTACGGTCACAAGCGTTTGTTTACATTTCCGACGACGTTTCATGCACTCGAACATGGACTTCGCCTATTTATTTATTCATTTGATTAAAGTTAAATAAACGTTTTTATTTCCAATATTATGTAGTATGTTTAATTGTTCAATGTCAGTAAGCATCACGTCTTAAACCTATGAAACTACAACAACTATTAGTAAGTATAAGATGATGCCGTAGCTTACTCTAATTCCGCACCTAATTATATGTCGAAATGAACCTTATTTGGCATTTTATCCTCTAATCTTAATCATTATATCAGACGCCGCTGTCCAAAAAAAGAGAAAAATTTTGATGGCATACAGAACCATCGCTCGTAAACACAGTTTTAAATTGAAAATAAATGTAATTTAATACTTTGCGGTAAAAATTTTATGCTAACATTTAGAATGATTTTTATCAACTGAAACATCAATTTGGCTTTTTTATTGCTAATGCAGTTAAAGGTCTTGCGAGATGTTATTAACTGTCGCTTAGCGAGATATTATTAAACAGACAGAGAAAGCTCTAACGGTGAGTGGTCAAATATTATTTATTTCCTTCTTTATCAATTTGCATGTATTGACTAATACAAAGGCCAATCGAAAAATGCAGGATTCGTTCTGGTGGTATAGTTTTCAAACTTCAGCTAAATGTGAACTGTTGTTTTATGGTTTTGCACATTGTTCCCCTGGTGCGTGGGGCAGAAAATAGTTCTTCTGATATACTTTGGAGTTCTTCGTTATGTTTTGGGACTATTTTCCGAATATTTCGAAACGAATTGCTTTCTGTTAAAATAATTATCTTCCCGCACATCGATATCTTGTGTTATAGGTACTGTGCCAACCGACGACGGTATGCCACTACTCCTATGATTATCTATGCAGTTTATCTATTGTCTATAGTTCATGCGTACCTTACCCCAAAAAGTTGGAAAAATTACGAAGACAATTCACAGTAATGTGTGCAAATGTTTGGCAACACAGGTTTACCTTAAAACCTATTCTTATAATCAAAATCTTATAGGTGGTTTGGATGAGCCTACAAGAGACAGAATAGATTTCACCAAGAAAGACTGTAAGTTCTCAATATTTGCTTAGAACGTCATCTTGCTTTATTTCTTTTTTTTGTAAATTACCTTATTCTTGCGTATGAATATTAGGGCGTCTTAAGGTGGCTCTGGAGGACATGGTCAATCAGAGTTGCAACGGTTAGTTCAACAATATTTTTTTAAGTAGTATATATTTAATTAAACGAGGCCTGCATTAACACATTCATTCTGACTTATGCAGAAAAAACTACGGGTAATACAGCACATTTTCATGCACTTACGGTTTTTTTTAAACTCTCTAATTGCAATTAATAAAGGTGTAATAGCATGGCTGGCACATAGAGTAAAACTAATTTCTTTATAACAGTCTGACACGTATATTCATAAAAGAGCGTCACATTAGACTACTTATCACTGTTTGTGCAATCTCAAAGTTATATTTTTACCGTATTTATAAAATCGCTTTGCCGTGTAATTTAATGTGGTTTGCAAAACGAACTGCAAAATAATATTATGATTAAGAGCTTGGCGTGGTATCTTGGTCGCAAACGGAGTTCAGTAGACGGTATTGGTAAGGTTTTTATACTATATTTCTTCCAGAAACGTCAACGACAATGACAACGGAAGAAACGACCACAGAACGCACAACAGACCGGACGACAGGTTCAACGTCGACTACAAAGTCTTCCTCTACTACTACTACTACTACCACCACCACTACTAGTAAGATCGCCACGCGTTTAAAAAATACTTATCACCTTCCTAAAATGTCTGATTGAGTGGTACAAATCTTGTCAAGTAGCTTTACAGGAATCCCTAAGATATATAAGGACGTCAGATAGAAAGTGCAGTGAGGCACATGCATCCTTTAAATGTTTTGAATTTGCAAACATGGTCACTATAATTTACAATATAAATAAGCAAGCACACGTTTTCTTTTCATAAGTACAATACGAGCCGGCACACGTACACCGTAATTTATTAATCAAAGGACCTGCTCACGTTGGCAGACAAAATAGTTGTTTGCAGGTGTCAGAAATACGGCAAGAATGAATATGAAGGCCGAAAATTCCGCCGACGTTCAATAAAAAAAGCCCGACTTAAAGTCTTTCGTTATATTCGGCCTATATAAGGTCAAATTTCCTTCAACTGGCTTTCCTATTTTACGCAATATTGGTTTATGCTGATTGAAATTGATAATATTTAGCATATCAAAACAAACATAATCCTATCAAATGTAATATTTTTGATCAATTCCGCCTCGATTGCATACTAATTTACGTTCACATGCCAACCGTTAGATATTTACCCACAGAATACGTTAAACAGTTGCGCGGGAGAATAGACAGCTAGTGTGCCATACAAATCCCTTTGCCGGAAATCCTATCATCTTCATCCGTTGCTGTCCGCAATGAAAAGCAATACGCTTCCGGTGTTGAGTTTGCTACTTGCGGCAATGTTACTTGTGGCGTCTTTACTAAGCTGAATAGCTGGAGTGCACCTAGCGGGTCGCTGTGAAAACCACCTACGGGGTGACCTAAGTTGACCATTTGCGCTAAAATGGAGCTGACTGATTTATTTTGCTATTTCTTA